ATCATTATGTCTGTTCAACCCTTCATCATTCAGTCAGTCATAAGCCATGCGTGATACACACTTAAGCAATCATGTATCTTTTGATACATGACTGATGAGGCAGATATTTTTCCTGCAGTAGGTTGCCATTTCTTTCTGCAGTAGACCAGTTACCATCCAAGGCTATAGAACCTGGTCTGTCCTGCTATTTACCCATAGCTGGGGTAGGGAGATGAGGATTCATACTTTTCCCAAGGGTATTAGCACGTAAGTGAATGTAATGGATTTGACTGGAATTCAAACTCAACTTTCTGATTTCTCAATCTGAGCCGCTATCCATCACTCCGCTGTGCCTCCTTCATCATTGCAATTGTTAAAATTGTATTTTAGAATCTTTCAAATTAAAAAACACCTCACTTCTCTACAAAAGGTCCTTTTCTCCAAGACTAAATAAGTTGGAATTTTATTTCTCTGTAAGTCTTTTGGCAAGTGTCTAGTAAACCAATGCCACTATGAATGAGAAACAATGCTCAAGAATATTCTTAACGCTTTTAGTCTGCTTAATCTATAACAATAAAATAACTGCAAAATTGAATAGGCTCATAGTTTTGAGGGGAAAAAAATTGTCTAAAACCTTTCTATCAGGCTTACAGCCATATCACATTGAAAAAATTGGTTCCTGTACAATCACTGAAGTTAATCAATATCAAGCCTGGTCAGTATCTTAATGGGTGACTGAATGAGAGTATCAGGTACTCTAAGCTTGAATGTGCTGGTGTAATGAATAATAGCTTGGAATTGTTAATTACAGAGCAGAGTGCCAATTCCAGATGTGTTTGTTATATTCACTTATGCGTAAATGCCCTTTAGATAGGTATGAATTCACCTCTTCTATCCCCAATTATAGGTTAATTAGTAAGACTTGTATCACTAAACCATTATTATCTAAAAAAAAAAAATAAACAAGAAAATTAACATTTAAAGTGATAAAATCTGTTGGATTAATAAAAAAAATTCATATATATTTTATCACTTGAACATTATTTTTAGTGGATACACATATTTGAATAGACACTCCCTTTATTTATTAAACAGGATATTTATTTATTTTCATCTACAAGCCTGAATATTCAAGAAATCTTATTAAAGAAAATGTGCTTTCCTGCAGAATTTGAAGCTGCATCTGCCTTAGCAAGAGAAACAGTTGTTAGATCCAACAGCCAGAGAATATGTTGCTGATCAGGCAAAGTCTAATGGTTCCTTATAAATGCAAATCTTTCTCAGATTCTCAAAACATTCATATCTGCTCAGTTTCATACCCTAATGTAAACAAAAGCAATTTCTAAAGAAGTAATGGATTTTTTATTTATTAATCTGACAAAATTTATCACTTTAAACATTATTTTTAGTGGCTACACATGCTTGAGTAGACACTCCATTTATTTATTAAACAGTATATTTATTTTTGTCTACTTGTCTGAGTATTTGAGATATCTTATTAAAGTAGGGTTCAAGCGGGAGAAACCATCATTAGATCCAGTATATATATATATATATATATATATATATATATATATGACAAAGTGTAAAAAGTTTAATTGTGGTGCATTTTGACCTTCAGCATTTTAAACAACTTTTTTAAATAAGTCACTTGTTTTCTTTATTTTCTATTTATGGCCAATGTTAGCTTGGGAAAGATATATGATTTCATCATTTTAAATAAACACACAAACACATACGCATGCAATTCACTTTATCATCTTCGATCTGATGAAGCCCAAAATGAGCGAAATGCATTATTGGATATTTTTTTAAAAGATTATACTTTCATGAATGTTTTTTCTAATTGTCATTTAATGTATAACTCTGTCAGGATCATTTACCCAAATTCTTAACACACACACACACGCACACATTATATTTTTGTTATATTTTACACTGTTTAACTTTTTTCTTTTTCTCTCTCCATCATTTGCAGGTCTTGCGACCTTATTCCAATTTGTCTCACTTGGTCATCTGGAATTATTTTCTGAACGAAGATCTTGCCCATGGCCCATCTTATGATATTGAGATCATGGGTAAAGAAATGAGGCTCAGTGACCATGAACAAGATGCTGATGGTATTCCTGTTCAACGACGTAAGATCATCAATGGTTGTTATGACAACATATTAGTCCAGGAACCAAACTTCTTTGCTTGGGAATTCTCTGTAAGGATTTCTTTATAATTTAGAATTATTATTTATCTCTTATTGATATCTGCTTAATGATGTCCATGTTGTTTTGTTTTTATCAATGAAATTCAGTGGATGTGCAGAACTTGTCTTTTTTTTCTTCTTTGTGTTTATAAATCTCTCCTCATTGTTTTATTTCTTTTCCTTTACTTTTCTCTCTTTTTACTGTCATCTTTTTGTATACATAATGTTGTCATGTGTGCGATAAAAGAAATAAGATAGAAGTTTTAGAGTAAACAAAAAAAAAAAAGGTTTTATGATATTTTTATTCTTTATGGTCAGTGGCTAAAAAGGAACTAACAAAGGCTTACTGGTAAGAAGTTAGAAATGTGGTATAGTTTATGGGTCAGGTTAACGAATGATAGTAAACAGACTGTTCTGAAGCAGATTTTTACAACAACTGACTTTGCCAGCCAACTCACTTAATTTTAATGCCAACCATGAATACAAATACCTGGATGAAAAAATACCACTTGTAAAGTCATTCAACCACATCGAGGTGTCCTTTGAAGGTCCTGACCTAAATGATCCAGAACTTGAAGTTTTGTTCATAAAAATAGATCCTCTTAGCAATGTGAAATTTTTAATGTTAATTTAAAATTATTTTTTTTTTTTTTTTTTCTTCAAGGTAGATTTCTGGCACAGGCATGAGCTTTTTCTTTGACATTCTCTTCATGATGTAATGTTTAAGTCTGTCACTCTTTCCATGACAAATGTTCTGATGATCTACATTCATTCGTTCCACTAGTTCAGACCTCCACAGCTAAGATCTGCTGTGTCACATACACTCGGAAAGTTGAAAAGAAAAACCAGTGTCACAAGCCTTTATTTAGATATGTACATTTCAAGAATTGGTAAGAGCAGTACTAACGAAACCCCACTGCTTATAAAACACCAGAAATAGATGTATCCATTGAAATAAAAATCATTCTATCAAAAACATTGAAAATGGGCACCTCAACCTTTTTTTATATAAGGAAAATATATAAGTTATATTGTAGGTTGATCAATAATTTGAAGTCACTATAAAGTGGAGTATACTCACATACTGAAAAGTTCTTAGTCCAACCAAAATAATTTCTGATGTTTGGTCATTTTTTAAAGATTTGAAAAATTTGGTCAGGCAACACACACACATATTTTATTAGAATCAATCAACATTTTGTGTTGATTAATTTTACTGATCAACTTTTCCAAAATAAAAATAATCCTTCTTAGTATAGGAAATATTAGTGTCTTTTTTGCAGTGAAAAACACACTGACTTTGAAATTCTTGCAAAAATCAAATAATTGTCAGATTTTAATGAGACTTTCAAAGGAATGAAATTATTTTAGAATTTTAATATTTTTATTTATTTATCTTCTTTTTTAAAGAAAATCCTAATTTATATATATATATATATATATACACACACACATTATATTCTCCCTCCACTGATTTAATGTTATGAAATTTTGAGAAATTAAAGTTTCACTACTGCCTATTTATATTCATTAAAAGCAGATCTCTTTAAATTTAAATCAATTTTCTTTTGTAAAAAAGGAACTCCATTTACTGAAAATCTGCTCTGAATCATAAAGTTGCAATAAAACTAAGACATTATTTCATTAGAAAAGCTTTAAATTGCTTTTATGAATAAGATACATTAAGGAGATAATAATGAATTTTCACAAGGATTATTTTAATTTTTTGTAACTTTAATTAGAATAATTTATAAAATATAAATGTTTTAAATTTCTGCATTACTTTTATTCTATTAGATGATATTATTAAGTAAGAACTATATTTACTAATCATAAATAGAAAATCTTAGTACATCAAACACCAATATTTTTAAAAGAATTAAAAATTTTTTTGTATTTGTATAAATGTGCCGATTTTTGTACATACAGATATTCATACACAATATTATCAGAAAATCAGTGTGATAACTATAGTAAATTTAAAGCCAAAGTATCTAAAATTCAATAAAAAAATTAGATTACAGTGAATATTTTCTAAATTTTTAAGATTACTGAGTACTTAAAAATTATATCAAAAGGTATTCATACTATATTCTTCAGATATTTTTTACGGATATATCCACCATAGAAAAGTATTAGATAAATATCCATTTGTTATCAAGCTATCTTAAAAATAATAAAAGACTTAATTAATTCAAAACAAAATAAGCTAAAACAGGAAGGAGTAACTTACTCTTGTCACCTGTAATAATTGCCACAAGGAATACATTGGAGAAACTTAAATAAATGATTACATGAACACAAAAGAGATCTTTAAAAAAAGAAAACACTAAATACATGAGTTACTCCCTGTAATGAATCTGAAAATAAATTAAATTTAAAAAGTGCCTTTTTTATTAAGAGAAAAAAAATTGACAAAAATGAAAATGTATAGAAAATGCTTTAATTGTTAGAACATCCACAGTAATTTTATGCCCATGTTCTTACAACATTTCACATTTTTGGTGGATCTGCGATTATCTCACTGTGGGATATTTAATAACAAATATAATGGTATTATGAACAAAAAGAAAAATAAATGAAATCAGCTAGACTATATACCCGAAACAGATTTAAAAAACAAAATTTAAATTTAAATTTAAATTTAAAATTTCAGCATCTCCTCTTTCGTGCGCATATGTAGTCATATCAATGTAAACATCACTGTAGTCTGATGAAGTCCTAAAGGACGAAATGCATCACCCAAAATCTTCTTCTGCTTTTTCTACGTTAAAATCTTTAAGTAAAAATATATATATATTGTTTTATAAATGTATCTCACACATATTGATAAATAAAGTTTAGTTTAACCCTCATTATTTTTTTTTTATTTATTTAAAACCTTTTTTTCTCTGCCATTTGTAGGAGATCCATCGACTGGAAACTGAACTTGGCCACCTTCCACAAAAGTGGAAAGTGCTTTGGGACAAACTTGAACAGCCGAACAAGGTGACCCTCCATCGGCAAATGTCTTTCAACACTCAGCTGGTGAGATCCCATGGACGTTCCATCCACAAACGCTCAACTCTTGAGATCTTACTTAAGGGCAAGATGCTCGGGGAGGCTGCCCGGATGTTTAGCTCTCCACATAGATTTGAAAAACAGTCATATACAACCCCAGCTTATTGTGATTACTGCTCCCATGTCTTGTGGGGACTTGTCAAGACTGGAGGTATTGCATTTACTCCTTGTTTAAAAAACAAACAAACAAAGCAAAACAAAACATCCCGTCACTTTCTATCTGATGTCCCCCGTCCACCTTCTCTTGCATGTAGAGCTGTCATAGTCGCTCTGTTGTCCTCTCTGCTTCTTTGTTTTTGTGGACATGTGTTGTGTACTTGGCCGTGCATATATTTTACTTTTAGTAATGAGTGTTGTCATGAAATTATTTATAGTATATATAATTTTGATGACAACTGAAATTGCCCAGCATAAATTACTGAGGAAAATGAATCTTTCTTGGCCCTCTTGATTCTGAGAAACTGCTAAGGCATAGGAACATGATTGTTGCTGTCACCCACAAGAAAGATTATGTACTCTGCTTGAGGTTGTCCATTGTTAAGTCCAGCAAATGCTGCATCAGAAAATGCTATCAGTTTAATTCCAGTAAGATTGTCTAGATTAGGTATTAACAGTCTAGAACAGGGGTGGGCAAATTATGGCCCACAACCCACATCTGGCCTACCAAGGCTTTTATTGTGGCCCTCTATTAATTTTATAATAATTTACAAATTTAAAAAAAAATAATTTTCTGGGTATATAAAAATTGTATAAAACTTCTTGGAAGAAAAATTTGTAATAATTCCGCTTTGATTTGAATTTTAGTTTAAGTATCATTTTGCAGGATATTTGTAATTGAGGTTTAATGAGAGTCGCCATTTTGTGGCATTTTTAAAATTTGATTCTATATTTTAGTAAGTTAGATTTTGAAACATTGAAAAATCAGTCACCCATAATGAGTTCTAAAAGACGTAAAGTTGGTTTTGAAGGCTATATTTTTAAGAAGGAATGGACTGAAAAGTATTTCTTCATAGAAAATGGTGCAAAAGCTGTGTGCCTGATTTGCCACGATACTTGTGCAGTATTCAAGGAATATAATTTGAAAAGGCATTTTCAGTTGAAACATGGCAACTTTGGCCAAAAGTTTTCCAAATAAGAACTGCAAAACAAATCAATGGACATGGTTAAAAAACTGAAATGCCAACAAGGCATACTTTTTTAAATATACATCTACACAAGAGCTTGCAACAAAGGCAAGTTTTATGTTGGCAAATAAGATTGAAAAACATAACAAGCCATTTTCTGATGCGGAATTTGTGAAAGAATGTATGATTGATGCAATTGATACTGTGTGTCCAGAAGTAAACTCAAAAGTAGAAGCAATTTCATTGTTTCGAAGAAGTATTGTTCGTAGAATAGATGCCATTGCTGAAAACTTGCAGGGAAAACTTTTGGCTACTGCAGATAAATTCAAGTGGTCCTCAATCGCTTTAGATGAGAGCACAGACAGAGTAGATACTGCACAGTTGCTGATTTTCATTTGTGGTATTGATGAAAATTTCAACATCACAGAAGGACTGTTGTCAATGGAGAGTCTCAAAGACACTACTCCCAGGAATGATTTGTATGAAAGTCTTATGTATTGTTTGGAAATTTTACAGTTATACCTTGATAAATTTGTTAGCATAACAACTGATGGGGCACCTGCACTAACTGGGACACATTGTGGACTTGTCAAACAGCTAAATGACAAGATTCAGTCAAACTTCCCAATCCACGTTGCTTTCATTTCAATGCATAATTCACCAAGGAAGTGTTTGCAAAGCAAAATTGAATTTTAAACATGTGATTGATCCAGTGGTATGTGCAGTAAATGTGATAAGATCAAGAGGGACTAAACCATAGACAGTTTCAAAATTTGTTGCAAGAAATGGAGTCTGATTTTTCTGATGTGTTGTATCACACCAATGTAAAGTGGCTACGTCTTGGAAAAGTTTGGAAAAGAGTGTGAGACCTCAAAGAATAGATTTTCATGTTTTTTGAAATAAAGGATGTGGCTTGTGACTTCTCCACCAAAATAAAGGATGCAGAATGGCTGTGTGATTAAGAATTAGCACAAGCAGCTTGGAGCCAGATATAAGCAAACTAGTCAACAACTGCAGTAGACTTACATCAATCTCATTAATAATACACCTACTATTGTTCTTACAATACATTTTTCTTGTATTTTGTCAATTATTTAGGCTATAATACAATTTTTATATTATAGTGAATTGTAATTAAACTTTTACAACTAGTAAGGTGTTTTTAATAATTAACTGTTCATGAAAATTTTTCACTGTTTCATTCTGTTACATTTGACCCAGTAGCCATGTGTATAGTAACAGTGCAGCCCACTAAGAAAAGTAATTGCCCACTCCTGGTTTAGAGGATATTTTCTTAGCTTTTCTAGCTGACTTATTTACCAGTGATATACTCCCATCCTTTTGTCTTTTAGGGATGATATCACATCACTTATCTCATAACTTAAATCAAGCCATGTCTGTGTTGCTAGCCTATTTAGATTTCCTATTGAGCTTCTGCATAATTTCAGCTTGTCATTTGATAAAATTGGTTTTGAATTATAGTCAGTCTTTGTCAACTCAATCTCTATGATGGCTGCAAACTCATCTTCACTAATTATGGACTGCTTTTGCTAATGAATCTAAAGAGCTAGATATTTTGAAACTTGAAACTTATTTCAGATTTAACTATAAAAACTTTCCTAATTTTCTATATTAATAATAATGTTCTTTGAAAGTTTGGGACCAAAGATGAAAATAGTGATTCAGCTAAAACTGAAACAATTTTTTTTTTTTTTTAATAACTGGTATGATTATGTATGGAGATACTGAAAAGTACACAGAAAGAACTGAAGTTTGGGAAGTCTGTCAAGCCAATTACTTTTCAGCACTCCTTTGTAAAATTAAAGCTGAGCTTGTAAGATGGTAAAAAATGTGAAGGAATTTGAGTGTCTATTTCCAAACTCTCTTGGAGAGCAAAAAGTTTCCAAAGTAACAAAAATTTTATTATTTGTGAAACAATTCTCTTGAAATGATTTTTACCTGATCTCATTTCTGAGTTTGACGTATTTATGCAGCTGTTCACTTTTTGTGTTTGGCAACAATGCAATGCGGTGATTCTGTTACAAATCAACTGCTGAAAACGTTTAATGTGAAACTAAAGATAAGAGTTCTGTGGCTGAATTGCAGCTTGGCAAATCTGGTTTCTATTTTAAATATCAGGTTTATGTTGTTTCACTTTTGTAATCACTCTACATAAACAATGAGAACAATCGTTTTTCTAGTTTTACTTCAGTTTCTGTTCTCTAAAGCTATTAATTCGAGGATTTAGATTTGATTAATGAAAAAATTTACTGTATATTTTCATGTAAAAACAAACAATTTGCTGTGATAAAGATGATGATGAAGAGAAGTGCTTGTTGTATATTTGGCGATAATCTTAGTGGAGTTTGTGAGTTCGGAGTAGGCTTTGAAAGGGGAGGTGTCTGGGGAGGTAGGTTTTGGAAGGTGCTGTTGGGGAAGTGCGCTCACTCAAGAAAAAGATGCCTTGTTTAGCAACACATTTTCACATTATGCAATGTTTTGTTTTGACTTTTTCAAAAGTTTTTATCAATATAGATGTAGATCACATTGCACTTGAAAAGATATGTTTATTAAATGATTTGCATGTTTCTATATTTGCTCATTGTGATTGATTTGTATTTATGCAATGTAGTAAATAATAATGTTTCCTTAATGATTTGACTGCATGTCCATTAATTGTATAAATCTGGGAGTTAAACTGGAAAGAAAAATAAGCTGTACTTGGGTAGCGGACACTTTGAATAAAATGTCAAAAATAAGTAAATGCCTTTGGCCACATCACGTTAAAACACCTGTTACTGTACAATCACTGAAGTTAAGTAGTGTTGAGCCTGGTCAGTACCTAGATGGGTGACCACTTGAGAATACCAAGTGCTGTAAGCTTATAGTTGACTGTAGTTGGCATCATCAAGTCAATGCAAACAATCCGTTCCTTAACTGCATAGTATGTGCTTTGCCAGGGCTACATGCAATTTTGAATTCAGTTTTTCTACTCCTAAACTGGCTGCCATCCAAGGTTATAGAACCCAGTCAGTCCTACCATTTATTCATAGATGGGGAGAGAAATCCCCAGGGTATTAGCATGTAAATGAATGTAATGATTTTGAATGAAATTCGAACTCAGCCCTCAAATTCCTCAATCTCATTACACTACCGTGCATCATAGGCTAATGAAAGTTAATATTAGGTTGTAATGTGCCTGTCACAATTGTTTTGATGTATTTTTTTTTTTTACTTGTTATCAATTGGATGTCTAAGTTGGCTTTGTTTGAAATTGTAAAAATGTTGTATTTGATGTTTTTTTCTTTTTTGTTGTTCTTTTACTAAATGCCTTGCCTTAATATCTCCCCCACCCTACATTTATTTGAGACTTCCTGTACTAATAATGTATTAGATGGCAATGCTCTCTTTCCAGGTATGCACTGCGTCAACTGCGGCTACAACTGCCATGAGAAATGCATGCCACATGTACCCAAGAACTGTACACGATTGAAACCTGTCTCCGATACGAGTGCCAGCAGCTCCAGCATTTCAAAGACAGGAGGATCAGAAGCCAGTTCCATTTCTGGAGGCAAGTAAAATATTTATCTTGTAATTCAATAGGCTTTCTCACTACTGTTTGGCAGCATATGTCACTCATGATAAATTGATGGCCATGTTAGTTAAGATAACCTTTTTCTTTTATGTTTGGTTTTGTAAACCTGTCATGATAGGAAGAGGACACTAAAAAGAAACAATATCTGGGTCTTTTAAATTGCAAATAATAAATCACGGTTATAATAATAAGGAAACATACTTAACATCAGGAAGAGACAATTGAAATTTCTAGGGTATATAGTAAGGAAGGAGGGTTTGGAAAATCTGATAGTCACAAGACAGATTCAGGGTAAGTGGGAGAGAAGAAAACAACACATAACATACTTGACAAGTTTGAGTAAATGGATGGAGAAATAATGAAAAGACAAAATTTATTAAGAGCTACAAAGGACAGGAAATTGTGGAGAGCCATGATCGTCTACATCCTAAGAGGACATGGTGCATAAATAATAATAATAAATGGCCAAATTGCTGTCTTACAAGCATTTCTCTTAATAATCATTTAAAAATAATTCAGCAGGTGATTTTTATTTATGGTAAATGGATTTTTGGCAAATTTATTTGAGATACTGGCAGGGTGTAACATTTGTGCAAATAAACAAAGCAAGTAACAAGTACAAATATAATAGGAGTCATTGAAAATGATCCTTATCCCTTATAATTGGGGTCATTGAAAATGTTCCTTATCCCTTTTTGATATTTGAAATCTATGCATATGAATTTTTTTTATAATAACAAAAAAATGTAAGTTATATTTGTTATTTTTCAGGCACTGGTAGCAGCCAAATTTATGACCATTTCTCTGGTGAACATCGTACTCATGAAGGATATCTTTATAAAAGAGGTGCCCTGTTGAAAGGTTGGAAACAGCGCTGGTTTGTGCTGGATTCAATGAAACATCAGGTTAGTTTATCTCACTTCTTCTAATGATTTTTTTTCCAATTTATTTTGGTTATTAATTCTGTTTGAAAGTAGCAATGATATCTGTTGTTGCCTGGGCAGATTACCTTTTCTTTGTGGGACACATTTGCATTTGCCCTATCAGCAAAATTATAATTAATGTAAACATTATGGTAATTTTTCATTTTGAAAATCTAATGTATATTGAGAATATCAACACTACTTACTTCCCTTCACTTGTAAACTGTGATCTAAATGGTTAGGTGGTTACCAGTTTTCAGGATATAAAATGGCTCCATAAGTAATGAAGTATTTCATTTATAAAAGTCATCAAAAAAACAAATTGAAAATGAATAACAAAACAGTTATTTAATGAAATTTGAATGTTTATTTTATTATTTTTTTTTTAAACTGAATATAGAAATTATTTACCTCCATTCAACAAGAACTGCCAAGTTGGACAAGATATAAGACACATGCTGTAGATATGATAAAACCATATTTATTTGATGTTACCATTTTATGATGACCAGCTATATGTAATTTTTGTGTTTTGAGTAAAAACACACAAACTTTGAGCTTTATGTATTTATTAAATTATTGTATTATATATATATATATATTATTCAATGACAAATAAGTTTGGGTTAATTATTTAATACATGACTAATCAACATTGGAGGTCATTTTTATGATTTACAAAGAGGAATGTTGGAAATTTGATTAGACATTTTACTTAGTCATGATTTCTTCCTCTCTGCAGTTTGATCCAAGATTACAAATATGGCTACAAAAACTGTTGCATCTGATATGTATTAAGGTTTTGGAATTTGTGTTAATGGAATAATTTAAATAAATTTAAATTCATCATGAAAAAATAACAACTGTTTGAGGTTTTACATTCTTTAGAAATTTGAGTTTATTTAAAAGACTGTAACTTTTGTTTGTCTTTCAGTTACGCTATTATGATGCAATGGAAGATTCCAATTGTAAAGGCTTCATTGATTTAGCCGAGGTGGTTTCAGTGCAACCAATCAAGAATGTGCAAGGAGCACCAAAGAAGTCTGATGAAAATGCATTCTTTGAGGTAGAGTCAGCAATAATATTTGTTTTTTCAAAAATGAAATACAATTAAATGGGCTGGCCTTAGTGAATTTAGAAAAATCATCCATTGGAGGACATCCACACCCTCAAAATGTCAGGGTACAGAATTTGTCTTAGTCTGCTTGAATAATTCAGTTTTTTTTTTTTTTTTTTTTTATTCATTGTGGTTGGGTATTTTTCTTGTGTTGATAAATAAATTCAAATTTGGTATTCATTTCATTTTATGTTTAAATATTACATTAATTTTTTTTTTTGGTTTAATAAGCCTATAATCATGTCATTTCTTTTAAAAATATTTTTATAGAAACAATTTAAATCTAGTTGCTAAAAAGAAAGATTAATGTGATTTTTTTTTCTCTCTCTATATATATATATATATATATATATATATATATATATATATATATATATATACACACACACACTTTAATAGTTTGTAAATAAAAAATTTCCAGTGGAGTGGGCAGAAATATAGTGTCGAAAAGGTATAAATTGAAATAAGTCAATATCATGCTATTCATTGTTGTAATCTAAAAGTATGTAATTTATTTTAAATCTGTGCCTTGTTCTATAATATAATATAAAAAGAAAAAAAAATTCCTACTCATCTCATATGGAAACTGAAAAGGAGCCAGTTCAACTCAGCTGACTTCCCTGGCATAATACCCCACCAAAAAAAAAAAAAACCTATATAAAGAAATATTTCATCTTAAAAAAATTTTTTTTTTTTTTTTACAGTTACGTACATTACGGAGAGTCTACAACTTCCTGGATCCGGATGCCAAGTCTGCACAAGAATGGATTGACAAAATCCAGAGCTGCATTCAATAAGCAGAGACAAATGAGATGGCGATGATCTTGCCCGTGTTGGTTTGTGTTGTCATCGTCCGCTGTAATATTCCGTTTCTTGAAGAGTTATGGTTGCTGAAAGTCCGGATACAATTGTCTATCTGCTTCAGCTGGGACTGATTTAGCCGAGTCGGGAATTGGAGTTTACCAACAGGTTGCCTGCTCTCTTCAAAGAAAGCAAAAAATGACTTTTTAAAAGCAAATAGGAAATTGTTGTTAATGATTTCCCCCCTGTGTCTCCTGGAAACATTAGTTCTACTGCCTTATTTTTAGGCTGACCAGTTTATGCAATTAACAACCAGCAATACAGCTGGACGACTATTGCAAAAAGAATAACAAAAACGCAATCTGAACAGACTGAGAGTTAGCATTGGGTGTTTGTTATACATTGCCTCATGTATAAACCAGACTGTGTTATTCCCTTTCTTCCATACATCATCACTTTAATAATATGATACCAATAAGTAAATCTCTTCCCTCTTTGCCACGTATCATGGGGTCATTTATTCTTCTCTCCCCCCTAATCTTTTCTTCAGTTATTTGTTTTGCCTGTAAACAATAATGCCATCTGTGAGATCATATGACCCCCACCCTCCATCTTGACCAGTGGCTAATGCCAGCCCATTTCCTCCTATAAATCCTCATATGAGAGAGAGAGAGAGAGAGAGATAGACAGACATGTAAGGGAGAAGTGTGAGAGAGAAAAAAAAGAAAAAAGCGAATTCTTCTCTTGTACTCATGGAAGTCAAATTATCCTGTTTGGAGAGAAGCCCAGCTGGTGTAGCTATGCAAGTGATCTCGGTACCGAACAACTGTTTAGTGCCAAGCTGTCTAAAGTTCATTGGCCAATGGGAGGGGGTGTTGACTTCAGTTTCTGGCTTGTTAAATAATGACCCAACTACATTTTTTTTTTCTTTTCTCCTCTATTCTGACACATTCTAACCATATTGGAGTTTATATATGTATCTTCACACACAAGAAATTGTTGGGCCTATGATGTGTGTGCGTGTATATATATATATATATATATATATATATATATATATGCATACACTTCAACTTCTTTACTCTATAAATACAATCATAGATTTGATATAGATTGTATTGATATAATTTGAAATCAACTGTACTGACCCATCACTAAGTTGCCACACACACACGTGTTGATGCAATAGTATTGTTCTCTTGAAATTGTATACAATAACTAAATTGGCTTTTCTGTTTTTTTTTTTTTGTTTTAATAATTATTAATTTTGATGTTCTGTTTTGCTCAATTTGAAGAGGGGAGATTTAAAAAGAAACACATGTAAATAATTAAACATACCAGTTCATCTAAACATTTTTTTTTTTTTTTGGTTTGCTTCCCACTCAAAAAAAAAAAAAAAAAAAAAAAGGAAGAAATTCAGTCCCTACCCCTATATACTGCCATAGCATCAGTGACCATTTTCTGAAATTTATCATAAAATCAGTGAGTTCCACAGTTTTGTGTGTATTCAACTTAAGTATCTGTTAATAGATGAAGACAATTGGGGTCGGGGAGTTGATTATGCCGTTCTATATTATCATCATAACAAAGGTATTAAGAAAGAAATGTACAAAACATGGGGTGGAGGGATAAAATCAATGAAAACATATTTTCAAAGAATTTTTTCAATCCTATAGTTTATGTGAAAATGTTGAATGTTTTATTCAATATGAGAGCTGAGAACATTTTGATTAAAATAAAAAGCACCAAATTCTCTTCTCTTTATTTTGCATTGGTCATTTTAGGGGTCCAAATGAAATTTCATGCCTAACCCAATTCAAATAAGAGAATTTGAATTGTTGCTTAAAGTGTTTAGCAAAAACAGTTATACTGGAAAGGGGTGGGGATTTGTGTTTAATATTTTATTTTTTAGTAATCTAATTATGCATTGCTGTAATAAATTGCTTTTGGCGATGAATCTTTTGTTTTTGGTTGTTAGGTGCACAAATATATCATTAACCATGCTTCCATTATACAAATACGCCCAACTTGAAAGACTAGGTAGTATTTTTGTGGAAATACATTTACATGATGCATTTTTGCCTGACAGTTTCACTTTGCTCTTGAACTGTTATCCTGTAAATCAGGATCATCGTAACGAGTATTCTCATCTATTATAAAGAAACTTTCTTTACACAGAAGTAAAGACAAAGAAAAATGGTGAATTGTTAAAAACAACAAAAAAAAAAAAAGTCAAACATTTCTGGTGTTAGGCTAAAACTATTTTTCTGCAAAATGAGTAAAAAAAACCCAAAAAAAAACTGATCAAATTGTGTATGAATTTTTGGCATAAAGTTTGTCTTACATCATGTGCAATCTCTTTAAAAAAAAAAAAAAAAAAGTCCTTTTTATAGTGAAAGTTTTTAAATGATATGGCAGCTGAGTGGTCAACAAGTTGGACTGGGATACTTCCCCACCTCCTTTGAAATCTATCTAGAAAATTTGTAAGGAATCAAATGTTATTTACTAATTTCTGTAACTAGTCAAAGTGGTTAACGTTGAAGTTTTTCTTTAATGTAGAATTTGCTGATCTCAAAGCTGGATGTGTCATCATGAGGATACAAGACTTAAAACATTAGCTGAAATATTTTTGTAATGAACAAAACTGCAGATTCTGATTTTCAATAATTAATAATTAAATTCATTTTAATGTAGTTCTTTACACTACTATTCAAGTTCTAAGATGAAATTTAATTAAAAAGCAAAGAATTTTATTTTCCAGATGGTCAGTTTTCTCCCAATAGCTTGATGGTGGCCAATTATTTAGATAAAAAAAAATATAATGAAATCCATGAATTTTTTTTCTAATCTCTGTAATTAGTATCATATCCATATCTTTAATTCCAAATCATTTCTAGGTGGTTGGTGGGAGGGTATATTGATTTGTAAGGATGACTTGAAGTCATGCCAAAACTCTTGTGATTTTCTAAGCACAGCTTAGATGTGGCACCCAGTGAGGATTGAATTCACTACTCAGTTGTAGTTGTTCTAATGAGACAAGCTTGCTAACCATTACACCACATCAAGGTGGCCAATCCCAAAACTCTTATGTGTACTGAATGTTATTTTAGTTGGAAAAAAAAAAAAAAAAAAAAAACTTACATTTCCATAAGTATCACTGGATAACATTTTAGTGATATAGTAATTTGGCTTATGGCAATGTGAAATGTTAGAAGCCATAAATTTAATTGCATGTAAGTCTTTAGTGTCGAAGAAATTGATGCTAAGATTAATATTAGGCTCATTATCATTGAGTTTCTAACTATTTTACAAAACCTGAATCTAATAGATCTCCTGATGTGGCTTCTTTATAAGTTGGGGTCTTGCTGTGATGAAAGCTAGAGTTTGCAGCCTAATGAGGTTAGCAGTTGATATTGGTGATGTTTTCTCTGTTAAAAATAGATTTTCAGTTTGACTGTTGGTGACCCAGTCTGGGATTTCTTGGATGAGAGCTTTGTCCTTTTATTCAGCTTGTTGTGGCTACAGTTGAAAAAAATCATTTGTCTTGAACTGAAGAGTAAATTGGAAAATAACAGTTGTTTTAGTATGTCACTTTGTAGTTCCTAGCAATGTTCAAAGTACAGGAAGATGTGGAGAACTATGATCTGCCACATAGTGAAGAGATACACTAATTCTATCATAAAAAAGAAAAAATTGAAATGACTGTGAATTTCATCAACTATATCTTCTGTGGAAGGGGAGAACCTAATTTATAACCTTTCTAACATTTTTTTCTCTCTTGTGCACTCTCTCTTTCTCTCTGTCTCTCTACCTGTGATACCAATTCTCCTGGGTGGTGCAATGAAAGAAGAGATTACAAAGCAGCCTAGTGAAAGAAATTCAGAAAGAAAAAAAAAAAAAAAAAAAATATATATATATACATACTCCAAAATTGGAATCCACAAACAGCATTTACTTACCATTGTAAAATATTTGTCACAGTTCTTCCCATAGACATTTCCTCTCACCACTGACCGGCTGCATATAAAACATTCTCTAAAGGACAAAATACTCAATTTATTTACCCATCCCCTGCTCCCCAGACCTTTCCTAATTGTCAAGCTTGTGTTTTGAAAGTAACTCCACATCTCTTCTTTGGGAAGAGAAGAGAAATAGCTTACAGTTCTGGCCTGTTAAAATCTTACAAAAAGAAAAGAAAAGACAGAAAAAAAGTAACAGGACAGATAACCCTAGCCCCTCTTCAAAAATTTCAGAATTGGAAGAAAATAAAAAAAAATAAAAATAAAAAAAATACTATTCATGTTGTGAGATGTGGTTCACAGTTTGTTTAATTTTCATTTTTAACGATTTCAATCCCCACCCCCTGCTGCCTGATAGGTGATGTTGCTGTTAATATAGTGTGTTATGTACAGCTCTGTATATAACTGTTCAAAGTTTTCCTTTTTTTTTTTTTTTTTTTCGCCTGGACTTTAATTTAAAAACTTGTTTTTCGAAAACTATTTGTTCTTTCTCAACTGAAAGATGTCATTAATCTTTTGTAAACAAGTTATGTACAGAATCTGTGAAGTGTAACTAATAAATGAAAATACAAACGATTCTACTCCTAAGTCTTGTTCTGTTAATGTTGGAGAAAGAGTGTGTGTGTGTGTGTGTGTGTGTAGAAGGAGAAAAGTGGACATTAACAAAACTGCCATAACAGCTGTT